AAGCTTAGCGGTTTTCGAGGGTGAAAATATTTAGCCAAGAATTTTTGTAATAGTTCTCTCCAGGTTCTGATAGATCTAGGTGTTAATGAGTTTAACCAAGTTTTGGCTTTATCCCTTAATGAAAAAAGGAAAAAGTTTAAGCCTAACAACATCATTAGACACTCCGTCATATTTAAAAGTAGCACAAATCTCAAGAAAACTAACAAGATGTAAGTTAGGATCTTCAATAGGTGTTTCTCTAAACTGATTATTTTTTATCATTTGGATAATAGTAGGTTTAAGCTCAAATGAATTAGCAACAACATCAGAATTTTGAATAGTTAAGTGAAGTTCATCTGTTGTTGGATTAGCATAATCTTTTAAAGGTATTTGTCGATTTTCATTTATTGATTATCTAAGTTATTCGTCATTTTGTTCAAAATTTTAATTTTCTTTTGTTGTTTTTGAATTTTTCTAATAGTACGTTCTAATTCTAAATCATGAGGAACTAAACCTTCAGATCCAATATTTCACATAAACAAATATAATAAGCAAAGAAATTTTTCTTCAAAAATACTCTTAAATATATAGTTATATATTTTTGGATTTTTTTGATTTTATAATGTTTGATTTTATAATTTGATTTTATAATGTTTTTGATATTTTGTATTTTGTATATTTTTATCTCTAAATTTTCTATTTACCAAATCTATTTAATTTACCGTTACCTTCTCCGGCAACGGCGCGAAAAACTTGATCCCGTAAAATATAGCTGTGTAAAATTTATAAAATTGACTCCGCTTTGCAACGACGTAAAAAACTTGATATGGTATTTTATGAATAATAAAGTTAAGCATTTAAAGTTGAGATTCTACGCAAGTATACGAATCGTTATCAAGTAATATAAGACTTTCTGTTTAAGTCCCAAATATCAATCTCACGAGGAAGGTTTAAATTTGAAATGATAAATTAACTAGAAAATTTACAGAAATCAAACGAAATTACTGTCACAAATTTTGAAAGTTTAAGATATTATCAAAGCTAAATTATTTACTACTAATAGAATTTAAAAGCAGGTTTTAAAATTAATAGCTACTAAATTATGTTTATGTGATGAAGTTTTCTAATATGAAAAAGTATTTTTCCTACTACAATTAGTTTTTGGTGAAATGAGATGAGATAAAATGTTTAAATATATATTGTGTCAAATAGGAGCAATTTTAATTCTTTACCCTGATTCAGTGTTATAGAAAATCATTGGCTAATCTTAGGTTTAGTCTCTAAATCCGTGGCTAGGCTAGGAGGATACTGGATCCCACTTTTTTTCCCTTGTAGGCTAACTCTCGCTTTAGTTTTTAAACACTAAGATCGAATTGGGAATTTTTAGTATGTCACCCTAGAAATCTCTAATTCTACACTCAACAAAGTATATTTCTCAATTTATTTGCACTTAATTCCATGAAGGAAATACTCCTTCATGGACTTAAATGTGATTCTCACTCTGTTGTAGAACTCATACTCCATTTCCCAGATCATATATTCCATTTCCCGGATCATATGTTTCACAACATATTTTAACAATTCAATTGGCCAGATCGAAAAGTAAATTAAGAGCGGAGTTGAAAAAACCATCTCAACTTTAAATTTTAAAATTGACACATCCATATTATCTCTTCATTTTACCATATCTCAGAGTAGGGAGAAATATAAAGGAATCTACTCAGATTTCATGAGAAAGATATAATAAAACACAAATTTCATATATAAGAGAGAGTTCATACAACAATAATAAACAAATAACACTTTTCTGAAACTTTTTCTCAAAGCAAATTTTTTGTAGCCTCTCTCAAGAAATGTAGGAAGAAGAAATTTCTCACTTCTCTTCCTCTCCAACACTTCTTAGAGAAGAATTCACACTTAAACTCACTATAAAAGCTTAAAACTATAAAAACATTAACTCACTAACGGTGTGAAATTGCATGAAATATAGATGTGTGAAGTGGAAAATTGAAATGAGTGGAAGAAGTTGAAATTGTGCGAGGGGGGGTTCTGATCAAATTTTGGCCCTAAATAGAGCCTAGGTCAGTTCTTCAATAGGTGCATCCAAAAACTCTTCAAAAAGCGTCTAAATTCATCGAATCTTCTAGAAATAGGCTCTGCATCGACACTATCGTTGTCGGCGCCATAGGCCATCTATTTAATTCCTTCGTCTCTGTCAAACGGCGCTGTTGGGCTAAACAAATTCTTAACTTCTCCATTTTTGCTCCAAATTCAATCATTTTTGCTCCAAGTCCTCAAAATCAACAACCTGCAAGAAAACATATAAAATATCTTCCATTAAAGTGTAATATCACAAAAATGAGTATTAAATATGAGTCTAAAAATACATATATTTTTGGTGTATCACCTCTTGGGTACAGTTTCATTCAAATTTTTTAAATGACATCTACATGCTCACAAACACTCTTCTCAATTGGGTTCCAATAGACATATCTATTCTGGGTAACAGAATAACTTATAAACGCACATTTCATCTCTAGGATTCAGATTCCCTAATGATGCTTCGGCCAGTGTTTTAAAATGGTTTGAGGAACACAACTCTGTCCTAGCTAGGCTATTGCTTGAACAATATCTTTCTTGAAATATGATAGATGAAATATTGAAGAAAGAATATTGGAGTGGCATAGCTAATCCTATGAATTGATGTCTTGGAACAAATTAGAAGCAATGGTGATAACACGTTTTAAGAACATGAAGGCCAAATTGTGAGTGTATTATTAACTATTAAGTCGTAGTTGTTGGGGTTAAGATTTTGAGTTGCATGACGCAATCACGACTGATGAAATATGAGATGAGATTATTTTGGTGCGTATTTTTGCGCCAAATATTTTCTTAAAAAATTATTTAAAGTTCGATAAATTTAATTATAACTTTCATTGTAGGAAAATCTCAAAATGGCTAAATTTTGTCGCTACCCTTTCCCTCAGTACGACATATTTGAAAAGATATGTGCAGAAAACATTGTAGTTGGCACTGTCGCTCGAGGTCCATGTAAGCCCACTGCTAAACATTTTGTGGTTCAGGAGGAAACTGCAGAGGAAGTTGTAATTGAATTATTATCCACGCTAGTCAAACTTTTATGACTGATGTAGGAGCAAATGAGACACTTTCAGTTATGGAAATTAGTGTTGAACTTGAAATGGAACAAACATTGCCACGAAAGAGCAGAGAAAAATGTTCTGGAGCGAATGTGGAGATCATGTCACGAAAAAGTTTAAAACGCATTAACAAGTCAATGATGAAAAAGTTTACTAGAGAAGCGATGTGCAAATGTTTCAAAAGGGAAGGAGGCATTAGATCATCATTGCCCATACACGATGTATGAATGCTTGGCAAGCTTGGAAGTTTTGAGAATATATCAATGGAGGCTATTATTGCTATGCAAGAGGCACTGATGGAAAAATTGGGAAGTAAAGTAATATTAATGACTTGAGATGGAGCCTTTTTACGCTCGTGGATCGAGTATGTGCTCAGTTGCCACTAACGTTTATGCATATCAAACTTGATTGTAGTATAAATTAATTTCTTACAATGTAATTTGAATTATTATTTTTTATTTCTTATGTTATTTATTTAGTTTGGAGTTATGTTATAGTTGTTTTTTCTGCTTCATAGAGTTCTTTCATGTCTGGTATTTTCCATTTTTTCTTCATGTATTTTATTTTCTCTAATAAACTTTCATTAGCAGCTGGATTAACTATGTCACAAAGATGCAATACTTCATTTTTCAATTCATTATTTATAATTGTCTTACATCTGTCTAACTTATTTATATTACACTTTGTTTTTAAAAATATACTAATGGCTAATCATTTAAGAAGAATTATTCCTGATGCAATATGCAACATGGTTGAGGAGCACGTGGAAATTTATGCTGCGATAAATGAGTTGATACCATCATAAGATGGGAGGAAACAACTCATCACATGAGAACAATTACGTTCGTCGTCCAATATTTGACAGATCGTATACGAGCCGTCAGTATGTCGCAGATGTTCTCGCGAGACATCCTGTGAGATCTTATAATTGTTTTCAACTTTCTTCGGAAGCGTTTATGCAGCTCAGAGACTTACTGGTTAGTTGAAGACTATTAAGTGACACAAAAAATATGCTTGCAGCTGAACAACTTAGGATCTTTCTAAGGAGATTTGTGCATGCGCATATTTATAGACAACAATGTGAATTATTTGAGCACTCCCTAGAGACAGTTAACAGAAATTTAATAATTTATTAAATGCAATAACATCATTAGTAGAAGAGTTTATTAGGTTTGCACTTGTCGAGGTAGAATGTTATCCTTTTATATGGAATAACACATAATATTATCTGTTTCTTAAAAATGCCATAAGTGTTATAGATGACACATATATTCCGACAGTTGTTAACAAAGCTTTACATAATAAGTATTGAAATAAGAAAAGTTTCACTTCTCAAAACGTGATGGATGTCGTCTCCTTTGATCAACAATTTTTGTTTGTAGGTTCTGGTTGGGAGGGCTCCGCAGTAGATATGATGGGGTTTTGTTGGGCAGTGGAGGAGGGAGACTTTAGATTACAACAAGATAAATTTTATTTGATAATTTCTGGATATGTAAATACAGATAAACTCTTGGTGCCCTTTAGTGGATACTGATATCACTTGAGTGAATAACGTCGTAGTGCCTCCAGAAGATATTTAGTCTAACAAGAGTTGGATAATCATTGACATGCTCAATTACAAAATGCTGTTGAGAGAACTTTTGGGATTTAGAAAGAAAGGTTTTCAAGTGTTAACACATATGCAGCAGTTTCCTGTACCAATTCAGACTGATATTGTGATTGCATGTGTAGAATTGCACAATTTTATTGTTCGTCACCATGGACATGATTTGTATTTTAATATGTCACAAACTAAGATGAAACATGATCATCAATACAATGAGGTGGAAAGCAATGATGAAAATCCTGATTTTCATGCAACAGATGGTGAAAAACTTCAATGGGAAGCTGTAAGACATGCAGTTGCTAGCAACATTTGCGAAGCACATGTAAGACTCAATAATAAGTAAAATATATTTATTTCTCCTATAACTAAAATATTTACACATTCTCAATTTCATTTTTTATTCTTTACAGGTAATGGGACGATGACATTGATCTGCTCTATAAGGATGATCGTATCCTATATTGTGTGGAGTTGAAGTAGTCTACAATTTTGTTTCATTGAAGACTAATATCGTGGCTATCTTCATTGTTGCGGATTTGCTACATTTTAATAATTCGTTTTGTATCGCTCTTTATGCAATTAAGATACTATAATTTTTTTTTATCTCATCATACAATTATGTTATCCAAGATTGTGGAGAGTTTATTGTTTGTCGACAATTTCTAAGTTTGTTTAAAATGGTGATCTACGTACAAATCCAAGAATGTCTATTCGTTTGTAAGCACCGATCTCTTGAAATTGGCTTTGTTGAAGTTTTGATGGCACTTTAGTTTTTTTCCTTTATTTGGGAAGAATGTTGTTGGATCTTATATATAAAATCCCTGTTGGATATTTTTTTGCTTATATTTTCTAGAGAGAGATGATTCTCACTTAAGTGACTTTGCAACATGGCATTACTCAATATTTCTCAAGAACTATTGATTAGGTGCATGGATCATTGGACTTTTGAGTTCATGAGTTGATGAGCTTCATCTTTGTATGCATTTTGGTCGACGAAGTGGCACTCCCGCATTCTTCATGTTACTCCAATTTAGATGCATGTCTACATGTTTGCAAGTTTATTAGAGTTATTCAATGAATCAATCACGAATCCTATAACTGTGGCACTCATGCTTCCTTCCTTGGGGCTTCACGTAGATCCTACAAGTGTAATTTAGCTAATAGTACATTTTTTCCTCATGTTTTGTTTCCGGTTGAAGTAGTAAAAATTTTTTTTAAGAGGACGGGTCGATCACATCCAAGCTGTGCTTTACATGCCAATTTTTCTCTTTAGAGAGATGGAGTTTGAGTTTAAATGCCATTGTCTCGTCAACATTCAAATTTTACTAGGGATTTGTAAATAAAGAGATCTTTTTATGTATTTTGAAAAATCTCGGTATTTATGGACATAATCAATGTTTTAAAGATTTATCCTTTATGCCAACGTGACTGTTTGGTAGTCCCATTTTAATATTCCTTGTACTACTAGTGAATTTTGCTGTGCAATTGCATGTGATCTATCTTCTAATAAGAAAGTTCTATTCTTGAATCATCTTTTACATTTTAAGTACCGAACATGAATTTAATAGCTGCTAATTCTTTGAAGGGGCAATTACATACATAGCCAAATTTTTTTTTTTTTTTGTATGTCTCATGATTGCTAAACCATGGATTTTATTTAAATTATATTCTTACGCTAAATCCTGCTAAATCCTATTAAAGCCGTCAAACAGTTTCTCAAGATTTATCAGGAATTACCTGCTAACATACCAAACAGGTTTCAGGATTTAGCCACCTCAAAATCTAATAAAATCCCGATTTCCAAGATTTATTAAATCCTACTTGCAGCCAAACAGCCCCTATGTGTGGCTTATTTTCCTATTTGTAGACAGAGGTTAGATTGTTTACATGAAATATTATATTTAAGTTGTAAAAATAAAATTACATAAATTTCATGGTAAAAAGGCCTTAGTAGTCTGTAGTTATTGGATACATATATATATGTTCTACAAATACGGTAAAGCCTCATAAATCTTAAATTGCCGTGAAGGTGGCTTCACAGGCTTGCTCAACTTCATGGAGGCAGGTTGAACTCTGGAAGAAGTTGTGATATGCTGTTGGGATGCCTTCGCCCAGTTGGCCGATGCTTAGGGTGACGTCTCTGAGTGGGTCCTGAATTTGGGTTCACCTAATCGGATGACTAAATTGCAATAACAAATGTGTCGTATATATGTCAGATTTATCCTGGATAGTTTAATGCGATAAATTCTATTGGCAAGCATTTGAACTTGATTCGAGTAGAACGAGATTGGTCTTAACGCAGCCCAGGTGGATGTACAATGGTAATATTGGTTTTCTAAATATAAACATTTTTACAGATAAGATACGTTTATGTTCCAGGCATAATTGTTAGAAACATGATGTCTATTTATGAATACATATTTATATTCTTTGCAATCATGCAAATCTTAGATGAATCGGGCTAAAGCTGCTTCACTATTACTCCGTGATAATGTAAGAACTCTGACACGAACTTTGAACAAATAAAGATATATTGGGTATTTGAATGCACGCAATGCTTAAAAAAATATGATAAGTAGTGTTGGTAGATCAAACATAATATTTTATTTTACTGTATGGCCTTTCAAAGTTTCTTGGACATTTTCTCGCCTTATAGTTTAGGGTGGTAAATGATCGAGCTTGGGTGAGTTCAGGTTTGACCCTTGTTCGATTCATTCGAAATTAATTTTATTTGAAATTGGCTCGTGTTCAAAGTTATTTGTGAACAATTTGTTCCGGTTTTACTCAATTAACATATTCTTGCTCGAGTTGTGAAAAATTTAAAATTGATTCATTTAAATTAATTAGATTCAAACCTGCATAATTTTTATACAATAAAAAACACAAAACCACAGACTAAATCAGCTATAATTATTTGAATTTAGATATATATATGTATTCCTTGTCTCAATCTAAAACAAGCTGAGCACAATCAAACAAAAGGTGTTCTGCATTAGACTCGCTTACTTGATGAAGCCATTATAAAGTGTCTAAATTACATTTAGTCACGTAGGGCATGGTGTGAGCACTTCCTCGGTCGTTTCTTACATATTTCTCAAGATTCATAGATGATGTCATTCCCAAGTTTTGTCTTTTTTTATGGAGGAAAATATTTGATTGTGAATTTTTGGGCTAGGTCATTCTAGTTAGTAATTGATTATGGTGGTAAGGATTTAGCCACTTCTTTACTTTCTCTCTAAGTAAGAAAAGGAATATCTTTAGCCTAACGACATAGTTAAAGACAATGTTATACTTGAAAGTGGCACAAAATTCTAAGAAACTAGCTAAGTAAAGGTTAAGATCTTTTGTAGGTGATCCTCCAAACTAGTTGTTTTACACCATTCAAAAGCGGTGGCTTCTATGGTTGGATTCTTGATACGCAATTGAATTTTCTCTACCATTGGGTTGACATACACCCTAAGTGATCTAGGCATGAAATTGGGCATGGGTGTTTTATTCCCTTCTTGAGGTAATTTTGTAATTTCTCCTACTTTCATTTTAAGTCTTTTATGTTTTCTAATTTTCTTAGCTGTTCTTTTAAGTTGATAGTTGTACGACACTAACTCTAATGATCTAGTCTTACACATACACATATAGGACTAATTAGGGCCCTAAACTAACAAATTAAGTAAATCACAATAAACTATGTAATCAAAATGAATAGTTATCCAGTAATACCTATTTAAATCGCAAAGGAATCTCAACAAACAAATTCACAATCACAAAAATGTATTGAAATTGGAATACTAGTAAAATAATATAACAAAAAAACATGAATAGAGATTCTTTTTTAATTTCTAACACAAAAATAACAAATAAATATGATAAAAATATGAAATAACAACTTTCAAGTCTTTACTCCAACTGTTGAACTAAAATTCTCCTATATTAAAAATTTATCATCGTTCCGTGACAGCGATGCAAAAAACTTGATTAACCAAAATATTATGAAGCTTTAGCAATCCACATAAGAAAATGAGTTGATCAAGTAGTATACAGGTTCGAATCTATGTATCCCATGAAGAATGAGTTAACTTCTCAAATAAGTAAAAGTTTCAGTTCACTGAATGTACATCTAGCATGAAATGTTTGAGTTTTCATGAATTTTTGAAATTTTTGAAACCTAATTCTGCAAAGTCGAGATTCTAAAAGATTTAGGTGAGAAGGTCTATCAAATAAAGATTTATCCTCTGATTTGGATTCTAGAAACCTAAGGTTAACTATGTGAAAATTTTTAAGGTGATGATCAGGAGCAAATTTCCTTCTTACCCCCTCACATTGGCCAAAGAAAGTTTAGAAATTTGAATCAATGTTTATCCCTATATTATATAAAATTTTCTAGGATCTTGTATTTTCATTCATGATTGTACTACCCTATAAGGATTATTACTATTATCCTAAGTCAATGTATGCCAACTTAATTGTTCCACTATTTTTTTTTCCAAAATTCAAAGTTCACAATAAATTTTCAACAAAATAAATAGCCAAGTTGAGTGTAACTGGAACATTAAAGGTTAACCCAATACCACAAGCAATTTCAAATAAGTCACATTAGCAAAAGTTAAGCCTAAGGCTTCTATTTTCCAAATCAATGGAGAAAAGTGAATTAGTTATCATACATGCTTTGAAATAGTACATTTCATATTTTATTAATCAAAGCAAAATAAAGTATGAATGATGTCCGTGGTTTGAAAGCTTTATTGAGCCAGAAATTTGACATGAAAGACTTGGGTCCTACGAAAAAAATTCTTGGAATCAAGATTCATCGAGATAGAGACTCAAGAAGATTATGTTTATCTCAACGAGGCTATGTTGATAAAGTGTTGGACATGTTTGAGAAGAGCAAAGAAGAGTTTGTAAGCACTCCATTGGCAAATCATTTTAAGTTTTCTTCAGAACAATGTCCTAAGACAAATACAGAAATCGAAGACATGGTAAATGTTCCAAATGCTAGTGTAGTTGGCTGCTTGATGTATGCAATGATATGTACTCATCCTGATTTGGCTCATGCTATTAGTCAAGTCTGCAAATACATGTCTAAACTTGGAAGGAGACATTAGGAAGCAGTCAAGTGGATTTTTAGGTGTCTGAAGGGTACTGTAGGACATGGAATTATTTTTGGCAATCAGCAATATGATCCTTCAGTTGTGGGGTACGTTGATTCAAATTATGCAGGTGATTTAGATGACAGAAGGTCTACAACTAGATAACTGTTTACTCTTGGTGGAGGGCCTATAAGTTGGAAATCAGTAATTCATTCTATTGTGGTATTATCTACAACCAAAGCTGAGTATATGGCAGTAACTGAAGCTGCAAAAGAAGTCTTATGGCTTGCTGAGCTAGTAAAGAAACTGGGTGTTGAGCAATGTGGAGTTCAGTTGCATTGTGACAGTCAAAATGCTATTTATCTGGCTAAGAACCAGGTGTGCAATGCGAGAAACAAGCATATTGATGTCATGTATCACAAGATCAAAGAATTGATTGCTTTTGGTGAGATACAATTGCAGAAGGTTCGGTCTGATGAAAATGCAGGTTATATGTTGACCAATCCAGTTACAATCAACAAGCTCTTGCATTGCTTGGACTTGTTGAATGTTAGCAGTTGCTAGAGAAGCATGGTGACCCAAACCACTTCAGTCTGTAAGAAACTCCATGATGTATTTCTCCTAAAGGGCTGGATATTCACCAAGGTGGAGACACCAAGGTGGACAAGGTGGAGATTTGTTAGGTATGACTCATATACCATATAAGGAACAAATGCTGGAACGAAGCAGAGCGGAGCGGAAGATCCTGTCCAATCGGGGGAGTTTCGTTATGTGGGTTAGGGGTGCGGGGGCAACGCCTCGCGGTACGATATAGAGGTAATTTTGTAATTACATATTGTACACCAGGGTTATATATAGGCTTTATTGTAACCCTAAGGGGTATGGTATTCTATTATGCACTCTTTTCTGGGATTGAAAGTAAAGACGCCGCTCTACTCCTGAGGACGTAGACATCTTTGCCGATCCTCATTAAATCTCTGCGTGTTCTTCTGGATTTGTGTCGATTCTTGTTTTTCTTTACCCTAATTTCTTAACACTAACAAATATTTTCCAAATCAGGAAATAGTCATTTTTTCTCTAAAAAATTGAATTTTATAATTTAAAATTAAACTAACTCAAAATATTCAGAAAAATTGTTTCTGTGAGCTTTTAAGATTCAAACAAGTTAGTTAAAATATTTATAATAACTTTTTTTTCTCTCAACTTTTAATCCTTAACTTGTGCCATGCAAAATGCATGAGCATTGTATATGTGAAAAAGATCATATAAATAAATGAAAGAGCTACCTAAATCTTGTTTATACAAGAAAATAAGCATGAACGATTATCTTATAAATTATTCCATAGGAAATTATTTTTTAATTAATAACTTTATTTTAAATTTATACAGCTCATAAAATTTTCATAAATTCTAAAATCGCAAAATGAAATGAATGATTTTTTTTTTATTATGATCTTCAGTGATTAATAATTTATAGGATTTTGAGTGGCATAAAAGCAATGCATTCTATGTGCCTAAGTTTTCAAGAAAATCAACTAAAAAAAGTTATAGCTCTCTCTACTTGTGTTCACTTTCATTCTTCAAGGTTCTTGCTCTATCTCCTAATCCTCTTTTGGGACAACTATCACTATAAAAGCGGAGAACCTTGCTGTCCTTTATTAAGAAACTAGTCTCACGATAAGGAGCTTTTATTGGGTATGGACACCGGATGCAAATTTGCGTCCGGTGTCCAATCAGAGCTACTAAAATACATATTTTATTTATTTTTTGTTTTTGGAGTGGGGCCCATTCAAATTTTTTTGACAGCTCTGATCGGGCATCCGAACACAATAAAAAATCCACGATAATGACACAATGTTTAAGAGCGAAAACCCTAAATGAAAACAAGAGTGTCCAACGGCTCCCAACATCAAACAAATCCATCTTCATAGTCATGCAACCGCGAGCCGCCCCTTCCAAACCCCAAAGGCCGTTAAACAATCTTTATGAATTAGCCAATAATCTATTTTTGATGATCAAAGCCATGCTATTTTTCTATTTTATTTCTATATTTATATATTTTTGAATCAAAATTTATCATGTGAGCATACCCAAGAATCAGAGAGCTAGGAATCTAGAGGAAGAAGTAGAAAGATGTAGAATAAGAAATAAAAGAGCACACATAAAGTTGCCTTGTAGGGACAAACTAGGGTGTTCGAAGGCTCTGTGACTCATTCTATATGATGTAACAGAAGGGTTACAAAAGAGAAGGAAAGGAGATATCCTTACAGAGTATGAATATAGATAGAAGAGCCAAAAGCCCAGTTTGAAATGCAATGGATATCTATAATCATAATGAAGTATATTGATTTATTTTCACTCACATATTAATAATTTAATTTATTTTTAAATACTAAATTATCATGCAATAAATTTAGTGTCCTCAGCTGCACAACTATTCAAGTCCGCATAAACGATGTCATGAATGAGTGAAACTTTACTCATTTGACCCCTTCATAAAAATGGCAATTAAACTATCGATCCACAGTGGATGCAAAGCCATGAAAAAATTTGATGATAATTCTAACTCTTTTTTAAATTCGAAAAACAATTTTTGATACAGTTAGTAGTATTCATTGACTAACAAACAATTTTTGATACTGACTTGTGACTGCAGTTTCTTCAACAATTAAAGTTTTAATATATAATATTATTAAAATAGCAATTTTATAAAACTTTATCAACTCAGTAAGCTAGCCTAAAATAAGGTAACATTAGTCCAGCATCATGTGACTCCTCCAATACTATTTGGTCGATTAGTATTAAATGCACACACATATAATAGAGCGAGATGGAGAGAAAAGCTAAAACCACAAATAATTTGTACTGTTATAAAAAGAAAGCTAGGAAAATATTCTCAGCATATAGTTATTGCTCATTTCATGTTGAACCTGCCCAGATGTATATTCGAGCTGGTATGGAAAATTTATTATGACAAAATATCCCTTTCAATGGCCTTTTCTACAATTGATTTATTTATATCTCATTAGGGTTCAGCGCTTACTATTCTGGGCAATACTTGGCTACTATCCTTGGAACAAAACCCTTTTTCTCACTACGGGCGTCTACTACCAGACAAGACGCCACCGCTCTCACTTGTGTCCCCTCATTCTCTTTCTGCTTCTTCCAGCTTCACTCTGCTCCAGCTGCTTTCGTTAACCTGCTCATTTTTTCACTCCATAGTCACTTCCCCTGTTTTCAACCTCACAAGTCCTCTGTTGTCCTCCTGCAATATGGGAAACTGCTCCGCTTCCAAGCTCGGAGGCGGCAAGGAGGAGCCGGTTTCCCTTTGTCGCGAAAGGAAGCGCCTTCTCAAAGCTTCGGTGAAGCGGCGCCAAGTGCTTGCTGAGGCGCATGAGCGGTATATTCACTCCATCCACGCAGTTGCCGGCGCCTTAAACCTCTTCGTGGCCCGTCATTCTTCCCCTTCCCCTGTGGTCGTCAGTATCCCCTCTTCGTCCTCTCCGTCTTCCTCTTCTAATCCTTCTTTCCTCCGGCAAACTCCCACGGAGCCCAAAACCGAAGCTTTAGCATACCGCTTCTCTGTTTCTTCGTCGACTTCCTCGACGCCATCTTCGAATTTGAGGGAAGAGAGAGAGCGAGAGGAGTATTTCTTTGCAGAGATACCGGTGGCACCGCCGTCGGAGACGGAGGTGTATGGGTGGGACTTCTTTAATCCGTTCGAGGGGTTGACGGCGGCGGTCATGACGGCAGGACTTGACCGGAGTTCGGATGAGGAGTTGAGAGTGATGAGGGAGCGAGAAGGGATTCCTGAGCTGGAGGAGGAGGTGCATGAAGCAAATAGAGAGGTTAAGCCGATGACAGTGGCAGTGGAAGTTAAGGAAAAAAGGGAGAAGGTAGCGAAGATGGTGGAGAGTGAGGAAGGAGATGTGGGAGAAAGGAAGGAGAAGGAATTGACGGTCATGGAGGTAACAGAGAGGAAAATGGAACTACTCGATGCGCTGAAAGATGTGGAGGAAGAATTCTTAAAAGCGTATGATTCTGGGAAGGAGTTAGCTAGAATGCTGGGAGCCGATATAGTTGACACTAATCCTGGAGAAGATGAAATCAAAGGTTTCTTTTTTAGTTTTAATTCCCAAAATTTATTCTTTTTATATGTTTTTAGAGCGTTATGGGCTCTAAATGGGGTGCCTCAGAGTTGTAATCTGTTCTCTTTTTTTGGTGTTCTTAAACCCTATTTCCGTGGGGTTTATGACGGGTAAAAGTGTGGGTAAGTTGGAGTCAAAAAAGAGCATTGTTTTTATCAGCTAATGTTTGTTGTTACTACCCTTTTTTACTTTGCTTTCTCGTCTGCTTTTTTTTTTCTGATTCAGCTCAGGAGCATGCAGCGCTTGTACCTTTCTCTTTTTAACCATTGTCATAGGGCATCTTCCTTTGAACTGTTTTATATAATATGATTTAGTACTAGTTATACTTAATTTATATTAACTTAAGAGCATCATATTCTTGGGTGTTAGGCTGCAGAGTCGGATTAATGTTATGTAGGATTTATCAAATCTGTATTTCCGGCGAGCTCGTGATATTCATTAAATCCCAAGCAACGACAATGTAAATTCATTAAATCTGCCTCTCTCTGGGATTTATTAAATCCAAATTGTAGACGAAATGACTGTAGAGAAGACGTGGTACAAAGTTTTTTTTTTTGTGTTTGGTTGGATTTAAGTTAAATCCATGGCTAAATCTTGTTAAAAGTGTGCTACCAAACACCCCCTAACTGAAAGGCATAATAGCCTATGGTCCTACTCTTTTTCCATATTTTCTTCTCTCATGAACTTTTTTGGGGCTGTTATTAACATGCTCTGCTTTAAGAAATCTAATCATGCTTATGATTTTAGCAAAGTTTTGTGCACACAGAGTAATCTTGATGGGGACTGCAAATAACCATTCTAGGAATAGACTGTGATGATTCTGATTCCAAAAAGATATTTTTGGTCATTTTGATGAAAGGAATTTCTGTGCCCAACAAAAATTATTGGTTTTCAGTAAATTTCTGCTTTATTGTTCTTACTTCTTACCGTATTTCCATCTTCTTTCACGGAGTGATTTTTAGCTTCGGTTTTCCATGCAGATAATTCATCAAAATTAATCCAGGCTATAAAATGGCATAGGTCATCCTCTTCTTTGTCCTCATCTTCCAGAAGATATTTGGTGTGCAAGCACTCTTCCCTGACTGAGAGCAGGAGTGTGATTTTTGAAGATTATGGGGGAATGGGTGCAGGAAGCCACTGGCTGACACTAGGAAGATTGTATGCTTGGGAGAAGAAGCTCTATGAAGAAGTGAAGGTATTATCTCACTCTTATATGTTTCTGAAGTTCTATAGTAGCCTGCGACTGTACTGAATTTGATAGAAGATGATATTTTTCTGACATCAAAGTGGACTGAAAAGTATATTTTCAGCACTGGAAGAGGATAAGATGAATGAATATTCATTTATTTGTTTATCATTGAGGTGTAGCTTTATGGATACTGATTTTAATCTACAATTTTCATTAAAATATGAACACATCCGTATACCTTTGCTCTTCAAAAGCAAATATGTGGCTTTCATTCAATTAGTTGGATCAAAACTCCTATCTCTATTTCTGCTACTTTTCTGGATGTTAATGTTGATTATTCATCTATGCAACCTAATCCTGTATTTCAATCTCCATTGTTTCTAGGCTGGAGATCAGACAAGGCAGATGTATCAGAAGAAATGCCTGCAGCTTAGAAACCTTGATGCCAAGGGCTCTGGCACACATACATTAGATAAATCTCGGGCTGCTGTGAAAGACCTTTATGCTAGAATATGGGTTTCCCTACGAACCATAGAAACAATATCTATCAGAATCCACAAAGTTATAGATGATGAGTTGCATCCACAGCTGACTGAATTACTGCAAGGGTAAGCAAGACAATCGCATTATTTACTGAAATTATTTGCTTGAATCTTTAGCAAAAGATCTGATCTTTTTTTCATGCATAGAATGATGAGGACATGGAGATCAATGCTTCAGTCACACGAGCGACAAAAACAGATTATGTCTGAGGTGAAAGCTTTTACATGCCCATCTTATGGGAGATATTGCAGCGATTCGCAGCATCAGGTGACTAGGAAGCTGGAGGAGCAGCTTGAAAATTGGCGAACTTGCTTCAAGAACTATGTTTCAGCTCAGAGATCGTATGTTGAAGCTCTTGAGGGATGGCATTCTAAGTTTTGCCTCCCCGAGTATCCCAAGACTAGATACTTGGCGTCATCCTATAGAGAAGGATCACCTCCTCTTCTCTCAATCTTGCAGGAGTGGTTGCGTTCATCTATGAAGCTTCCTGATAGACCTGTCATACTCTCCATGAAAGGCTTCATCAATAATGTGAGGATTCTATTGGTAAAGCAGGGAGAGGAACAACAACAGAAAAGGAAAGTTGATAGCCTGGCTAAAGAATTCGATCAAAGGATCTCTGCATTGCAGAAAACCGAGAACAGAATTATGGAGCTCAAACTATTAGATGTGAAGCCTGAACCAGAAGTTGGTGATCGAGTTGAGTACTTGTCTGGGAGAAAGAATTTGGTCGACATGTTTCGGCAGAAACTCGATTTGGAGAAGACGAAGCATAGGAAATGCATGCAGGAGACAACAGAAGCAACCTTGAATGGCTTCAAGATTGGTTTAGGTCATGTTTTTGAATCTCTGACGGATTTCTCTCAACAATCTCTCAAATTCTATACTGAACTACTGGAACGAAATGGAACTGTAAAAGAAAAGACATCGGGCATAGAAGATTCAAAGGTTGGGGTGGATATAAGATGATAGTATGGGTAATGTTTGACTTGTATATTAAGTCTTAGCTGGCTTCCTATAGTTTTCACTGTTAGATTATCTATGGTTAATTTCTACAACCCTCAATTTTGTGAATCCAGTTGAAGCTACTGTAACTTTCAGAGCCTTATGTTTATAGAGTGGTTGTAGTTATTGATCTTGCAGAGAGGGAGCGCGTGGTTATTGTAAGTATTGCTTTAAGTCATTTTTCTTCTTAAGAGAGAAGATGGCATCAAATATGCCTGCTTCTAGTTGTGCTGGTTTTAATATTTAGACTTTTGTTTTGGATACATTGGATACATTTGAAAGTTCGTGTATAAATGTCATTTTACAGTTGTGTTTTAGTATGTTACAATAAGCTCCATGATTATAGTTTGCACAATTTTTAATTTGACCTTTTTTTTTAAATTTGTAAATTGCATTTATTTATTTATTTATTTATTTCCCTTAAAGATTTGGAAATTTGTAATGGTATGCAGGAGTTTTTAATGTTTACAACTTTGTGGCTATTCTATCACTTCAGCAGGTTTAATACGGCAAATGATACTGATGAATGCTCGCTGCACACAGTTTTAACGCAATTTTGATTAGATTTGATTGAAGTATTGTTGGACGGGTCTGATGTTGGTGCGGCCAATTATAATGGAACAACTGAGAATCTACCATCACATTTTTGTTATTTATAATGAAATATATTTTTACTTCTAATTACTAAATTATAACAAGAATTTGATTCGAATTTTTTTATTAAATTATTAATTTATTTAGACAAGTAAATATATGATTTTGATATAAATAGTAATAAAGTTATGGTAGAGAAAATAATAAAAGGTGATTTTAAATTTGTGGTAGAGAATAATTTTATAGGAAGCTGTGGGGTGACTTATAAATATATATAT